AAATGATATGTAATTTGTTTTATTCTGTGTATTGTAAATTTTTAATGCTTTATTTTGTAGGTACTACCGTGGCACGCATGGTGTTATAGTTGTCTATGACGTAACCAACGGGGAAAGTTTTGCAAATGTTAAACGCTGGCTTCATGAAATAGAACAGAATTGTGAAGTAGTCAACAGAATATTAGGTAAGAGGAAAAGTGATTTTCATTTTTTGATTGGTTGATTTATGATAGAAATCATTGATTGTTCCTGGTCATTATCTTCTATTTAGTTCCATAAACACAAAAGTTGTATATTTATATTTAGTAGAAAGATTATCTGAAGCTTTATTATTTATATTATTGTTATTTTTATTTGATGTTATATGTGTGTGTGTGCATATACATGTGTGTGTCTGCGTGTGTGTGTGTCTGCGTGTGTGTGTGCATGTGTGTGGGAGAGAGAAAGACAGAGATGTGAGTGAGAGTGTGTGTGCATGCGTGTGTACGAGTGTATGTGCGTGAGTGTGTGTGTGCATGCATGTGTACGAGTGTATGTCTGTGAGTATGTGTGTCCATGCGTGTGTACGAGTGCATGTGCGTGAGTGTGTGTGTGCATGCGTGTGTACGAGTTCATGTGCGTGAATGTGTGTGTGTGCATGCATGTGTATGAGTGTATGTTTGTGAGTATGCGTGTGTGATGTAAACCTGGCTTGATCTCCCCTTGCTTGTCCTCCACTGTACCTTGTACAGTCTCTCTCACCTCCTTAGCGACTTCCCTTAGCTCTGCTTCCACAGATCTGAGTATGGAATCTGCATACTTCATGCACATATGAATATTTTTTCATCGCCCTTTTTCAATTTATTTCAGTTGGGAATAAAAATGATTGTCCAGACAGGAAGGTAGTACTCTATGAAGATGCAAAGCGGTTTGCAGATCAGATGAATATTCATCTCTTTGAAACTAGTGCAAAGGATAATATTAATGTTGAAGAGGTATGTTTTGCTTGTTTTGTTTTTTTATCATAAGTGTGAGATAAGAATGGTGGTTATAAAAGTTACCCATAACCTTTAAGAACCAAAAATTGTCCAGCTTGTCTGCCCCCTACCAAATGGTTGATTTTACACACCAGAAAATTTATATTTCTTTCATTATTCAGATATACTGTACATAAGAGTGTCTGAGTTTTAAAAGTTATCACAGTTAGCCCTTGCATATAAATCAAAATTAGAATTAGTTACCGTAAACATGCAAATAAAGACCTGTAAAGCAACAAAAGTATATTTTCATTATGTTGTACACTAAACTTTATATTTATATATTCACATTTTTTATGTGTGTAAATAGTGAAAATGGGAGGGTTTAGTTATATGGAATATTCCACACGCTACATTCAAGTCACAAGAAGAAAGAGGTGGGGAACATGTTTGGGCGACAGGCTTTGGGAGAGGAGAACCTTAATGAAGAATGGAGTTGTGGGATGTGGCTGGAGGAAATATGGTATACACTATGAGATATATATAAGTGGAAACTACATGTGTCTCATTGACATGAAAGGAGGAAAAGAGCAAACTATTTTTGGACAGCCTGCACATCATTGTACTTAAAAGGATAGACTGTTTGGTCCTGTCTGTGATCTTTGAAAAGATATGGTCTTCCACAGTAGAGCTGAAATGTATTTAAAGTTTCTTCTGTTTAAAGAGTCATACATGTTACTGCCAAAGTTGCAGATAGTGAGGAAAAGACCTGCTTCCTCTGCTCTGAATTTTAAGCACCTAACTGCATGGTACCGGGCCTGTGGTTCAGTTTGGCATTGATGAGAACCATTGGCAGGGGGTTAAACAATGCTCTCGTAACCCTAGATTGACAGTGTGCATCCATATTTGAATAAGCATGTTTATGGTGAATATAAAAGTGATATTGAAGTATTAACAGTTGTCTCCTAAGTTATTAGTTATTAATTTTGTTTGTTCCCCCTTTCAGATGTTCACAGTTATGACCAAGATGGTTTTACAAACCAAGAAGGAGCAAAAAGATCGACAGAGTGCCACCAGTGACCCTGTTCGCCTTCATAACCCAAAGAAAGGAAAAGGCAAACAGAAATGTTGCTAGCAGGCATTTGGTAATTATGTTTCTCTTCTCAGCAATTACAGATTAAAATTTTGTTTGAGCAGTCCGGGGAAAAAAGAACTAGATAGGGAAGACAAAGCCTATGAGATGTGTAATAGATTAGGACATTTCTTGTCGATGTAGTCTCCCCAGCCCGTGCTTCACCAGTGAGTACTACAAATGTATGAATTGTCAGTTTTGACTCTTGAATCCAAATATCATGCCCCCAACTTTTATTTGACCCTTTATGTCACTTGGCTATTTCATTAATAAAGAAGTACTTTTGTGAATAGAGTGCTAGTGATGAGAGTATACAGCAAGGGGGAAAAGATAGGGTAAAAGACAGTAAATTAGATAGGATCTTTACAATTTTAGTGATGAGCAGGGACAGAATATTAGCGATTCAGTTTTATTTTGGGTATTTTCCTTATTTGAGTTCAGTCTTTATGTAGTGGGCCTTCTTCATGCTCAGATTTTAGATTGTATATTTTTGTTTAATTTAGGTATTGTATAAGACTTGCAAGCTGAAGTTCCATTTCATTTAATTCTTTAAATAGATGAGATAAGTGAAAATCAGAACGTGAAATAATTTAAACGTTTATATTTCATTTTATATTGCAGATCATCACATATCGGAACCAAGATTGTGCTGTGATGTGCAGCACTTACAGAGTGTGTTTGGACATTTGTTGGTTTTCTTTATGTATAAGTAGTGAATGAGAGGAGATTTTTGTAGATATAAGAGTATTACTATGTGTATGTATGCTGTGAGTGTGTATTGCCAGAGAAATATATGAAAGACTTATTATTACAATTGTTCCTTCTTTCTCCACATCTTTTAATTTATTTTCAAGTGATTTTTTAAGAGGATGCCCATTGCAAGATCCTGTTTTTTTATTAGTCTTAATTTAATGGAATATAAACATCATCTGAATTTGTCCTTTGATACATGAGTGCTAATTTGATCATACATTATAGATGCAGTACTACAGTATATTTCAGTGTTTAAAATGATTGATAGCTGCCAGTTAGATACATGGATATTTTGCAATATAGGTCTGGGCTGTTTCAAAACAAATAAAATTTTATTGGCAACGATAAAGATGACTGAATGTAACTGAAGTTAAACCTTCAGTAAAGATTTATCAGTTTTACAGTACCAGAGATTTCTTTGTCTTCAAAATTTCTGCCTAATGGTCATAGTGTACAAAACTTTTCTTCACGTTTTGGTCATGGCAAACATTTTCATGAAATAGAGGAACTAATGTGCAAGCCTTTCTTATTTTAAGATATGGCAAACCTTGTAATATGCAGATTATTAAATTTTTATTTTTGGGGGGGAATATTTATATAATTGTAAAAAAAAAAAGAAACAAATGTGGTAACTGACAATATGTGCACAATGTATATTGAATATTTGAGATATTTTGACGGGAATATATCAATATTTTTTTGTAATATTAGGTAGAACAAACTTTGCATGGATTCTAAGGGTGTTAAATACTCTGCTAATAAGATGTGAAAAAATACTTGTATAGCTAAGGCAGTGAAATGCCATATTTTGATAATAAATGATTGCCTATGCACAATGTTTACACTTTTATTATGGCTTTTGATGATGTCACACCTCTTCTTTGGATATGCTTAAGCATGAAGGTATGCATTCTTGTAATCACTATTTATTTTTATTGTCCTTACACTCTTGATTTTGTAGGGGGGAGGGATTTCTCATAGTTTCTATTACACAGTATTCCATATTCATGCATAATGGATACATTCACATCTAAAGTATTTGTATCACCTGTTTACTGTATACACTTGCTTTAGGAAGGACATATTTTTAAATATATGTAAAGTACTTTACTTTTATCAGATGAACTCTTAAGAGTCAGTGATCGTTTATAATCTTCTTGAATGACATCACCCAGTACCTTCAAAATCTGATATTCTTGACCTCTGAAATGTGGAGGCAGTGTTATGCATGGTAATATTTTTTATTCATAGTTTCTCTACTCAAATAAGTTGAAAACCTAATGTGTGAATACCCATTACAATGTAATTTTCTCTTTTAATCTTGAGAGATTTTCTTTTCTGTCCTGTTTTTTAACGTGATATTCAAAACACATTAGTATCATACTAGTTCATGCACTGGGGTAGCATCAATATACATTAACTTAAGAGAGAAAATGCAACATTTTAAAAGGATGCATAAATTTTAAATTACATTTCTTGTATGAATTTAAGGTTGGTTGTTAACATCTTGAATTTATATATGCTATTGCTCATTTAATACTCAGCTGTCATTTAGCTAGAGCATGAAAAAGTAGACCCACACAGCTGAACTTGTTCATCTTCAACTCATGTCAGTAAGCCTTATTATTTGAACTATAGTGCAGTCATTGCATTCCAGGAAATCATTTCAGAGAATCGCATGTGATTTTCTGCTCATTTGTACATAGGAATGTTTTATGAAAAGGCTGGTCCTTTACCAAAAGCATGTTCCCTGGTGAAATGATGTTACACTTCCTCTTATCAAAGATATATGGGTGTTTTCTCATGAGCCATAATCTAATTTCATTTTTGGTATTGCAAGTATTGCAAGAAATGCAATTGTTTGTTTATTAATTATTCTTCATTTTTTATGAGTATATTTTTATACAGTTAGGTCAATAATTTAGTTTTGTTGTCTTTTTTTTTTTTTTTTTTTTTTTTTTTTTTTTTTTTTTTTTTTTTAAGACTATTATCTTCAGTACTGTAAAATTGACACATATTTCCTATTATAGTCATGATTTGTAAAAATATGCACATTTGAAGTGTGAAAATAGAAGCAATGAAGAAGAAATAGAAAGACAGTAAATGATAGCTACATTCCATACAAGGGGAATTTTTTTCCCTGCTTGATATAGATGTTGAATGATTTAGGCTCAGTCAGTCAGTGGCTTTTGAGCATAATGCCTTTTTTCACTGAAAAAAACAAATATTGTATATATATAGTATGAAAATAATCTTGTTGACAAGCAGCAGAGTCGTATCGCAAACCATTTAGAAAAACGTATATTCAAAACTAGTCATACCTTTTAGAAATTATCGTCATTACTTTTCACCCTTTAAAACCAGTTGCTAGTAGAAAAAGGTATGCAAATTTCTAATCTCTATTAATTTTTCCTTCCCATCTCTTGCTTTCATCTCCCTTTGTACTTCTTTTCTGCATTCCTAGCAATTATCTGTCTGTTCTTTCTTTTCTCTTTTTCTCCCTCTCCCTGATTTTCTTCTTTCCTTCCCTGTCTTCCTGCTTTTTGTCCTTCCTGTACTGTTGGTCATCTTTTGTTGTCCCTTTCTCTCCTCCTCTCCTTGCTCTCCCTCTCCCTGCCAATAACTCACCCACTCACTCTCACTCTCTCTTTTCATCTGCTTCCTTTCTCTTCCAGCTTCCCTTTCATTGTTCCTTTGTCTTAGAGGATAATTTCTTTAAAGATATATATTTATTTTTTAAGGGTTACAAGCAGAGTATTACATATGTTTAGGAAACTCTACATGGGAAATCTTACAAGGCATTAGATATACACTTAGTTACATCTCCAGACATGCAAAGAAGTTCATTTGCCATATGTATTTCAAGAATGTGGTTTGATTTCTATGATTTTTCAATTATATTCTTTTGAAGCTTTGTGTTGTATTTCCAGAATACATATTTCATCAGTATCTCAGAAGATGTGCATTGGCATATTAATGTGTTAACTAGTGTCTTAAGGTATGTGCATTGGCAGTCTGTATAATTTTGTGATGATGGTCATTTTAACTTCATATGGAAAAGAAAAGGGAGACCTCTTTAGTACTTGTCGTTTGGCTTGTACAGCTCATATTTAAGATTTAACTTTTATCATTAAGATGATGATATTTGAGATAACACCATGTGAAGAGGAATACATCATTTTGCAATGGTTAAATCAGGTTCTTTTATTAAAGCAGATTTCTATATGGCTGTAATGTTACTGATTTGGTTGAACTTGTGTAGACCCCTCAGCCAGCACTTGTAGTAGTGTCAATTCTGAAATGTAATACCCTAACAACAAACATCCTTTAACTGGGAGACATAGTTGAAATAAGGTGTAAGAACAAATTTTTGTGGAGAGACTATTTATTTATCAGTGTTATTCATTCAAGGGGGGGAAATAGAACCTTTAGTATATGTGAGACATGCTTTGTGCATTCCGTTTAGTTTTTCTTTTTGCCTGAAAAATGTGCATTATGTTTATGCTTGTTGAATTAGTGTAAGCTTGTTTGGTTTAACAGCAGGCAAGTATTATAGGACCCAAATCTGGGAGGGACTTTGTCTGTAAGTACTGACCACTTTCATCAGTTCATGTCATTAAATGAATCTACGTCATCAAATTTCATTAGTAAATTTCTGAATATTTTGTCTGTTCTTTTTACAAGCTAGTACAGTGAAACTTCCCTTTACCTTTTAAATAGAGGCATATTTATGGTACCAAATATATGCTTAAAATGGAAGCCGTGATGGATATTTTAAGTCCTGCAAGCTGTAAATATGAATGATTTCAAGGTCTTAAGTAGGTTTATGGAAATGATAGAGTTAAATAAGAATACCATCCTATAATATGTTTAGAAAATGTGCTGCTTCTGAAGGAAAGTTGCCTAGTAAATGTGATTCTGTTTTCCATATTTGTAATGTTTGTGTAAGGTATAATGTCCATGGCTGGAACAAGATTTTGATGTGTTGATAAGTATTCAGGCAATGACTTATGACTTTGAAAGCTCATTGTTATTTTTAAAAAGTGTAACAATTCCCCCAATGATGTGTCCTAATTGACAATCTGCTTCCATTATTAGGCTTTATAATGCTTCCCGTTATTGTGATGTCTGCAACTTTCTCTCTATATAATTTAATTACCAGAATGTGTTAATATCAGAGAAATAGTCACAGTCCCATACTGACATGTATATTAAGAGAACCACTGCTCCATATTGTAAAAATAATGTTTCATAAGATTCATAAGAATTAAATATGTTTTTGATGTTTCATTACATTTAGAGTAAAATAACGTATTTGCACATGTGCCTTCCAGAGGCAGAAGATAAGCCATAGGATGTCCAAATGTAAATTTAATTATTAAAATCTTGGGTTTGAATATTATTATTAGCATTGTGCCTCAACTCATGAGCTTATCATTACTGTAAGTATCCTACAATCATTCCACATCTGTACTTTTTGTGAATGATTTCTGAGTGTTTTTGTCTTTTTAAAACTGAGTGATGGTTTTTGTGAGGCAACAGCTGACTTGTGGGATCTACATAAACCTGATATTACTATGATTATTAGTGATGTAACAGTCTATTGCAGAATGTCACAAGGTTTGTATATGATGTAAATATTGTAATGTGTAAAGAAAATGTATTTTATTTTCCCAAGGCAACCTCGAAGAGCCATTAACATTGATAATTTGAATGTTACATTGTCTTCTAATAGACTAAGATTAAGGATTTTCAAGTGCATGTTCATTGATAACAGGAAATCCAGTATTCTTAAAATCAAGGCATATTAAAAAAAAAATCTGTTACTTTACCTGTTAATTAATGATTTAGAGACCTGTATGCCATATATTTTAACATAAATCATTATTTAGACATTGACTTAAACAACAAATTTTACTGGAGATAAATATTAAGCTTTGTTGGATTAACCCTCTCAATCCCTAGTGATGCCCTATTGCATCATGGCTGACTGACTGACTCTCATGCTGGGATGACGACTTATTACATATTACATAATGCATAGTTGAGCCTGTACTATGTTCTGTGCAATAAATAATTATTTGTTTGTGGTCATTGAGGTAAACTTTTTAGCCTCATTATCTAAATAATTTATGCAGCAGCCATAGAGTAAAGGGCAAGGTAAATTTGTTTCCTGCATTTTATGTTCTTGAACAGATGGCGCATCTTGGTATGTGGTTTGGTATGGTACTGGGAACTCTAAATGTGAGTGGGTTTAAGGAGTTCAGAAACTTGAAATTATTTGGGAACATAAATTATGATAAAACAAATAATAATAGAAAGGTACTTCTAAGCATCAGTTGTAATCAATTTAAGACATAGCTAAGCCATTTACAGATGATCACTTTTTTGCTCTTGTTTAATGGTTAATGGATAAAAAGCAAAATACATGTGCTAGATATGTAAAGACAGATAGAATGAGCAGATGGGTTAAGGTAGGAATAAGCAGAGAGGGAATAAGATCAAGAGAAGAATGTGTTAGTCATAGGAGAAAGTGTGGGATTTCTTATCCGTGGGCTTTACCACAGAGCCTTACCCTATCACTATAATTTGAATGTGTGTCTACCTTAGATGCTGACACGGTAGAAATTTTTCAATAAATAAATAATTGACCAGTGGAAGTCTAAGTGGAGAGAAGGAAAGCATAGAGAAAGATCAAGGCATGAAAAAGATTGTGTGCAAATATCAAAGTGTGTGAAGTGTGACTTAACCCAATGCTGACAGGTAAAAATGTTTGGCAAGTGGATGTATGGACGTGGTTGTTGGCGCACATCGGCAGTTTCCCCTGTTTGCGCCCAGCTCGATCAGTAGTTTGCATGTGACATTTAGCACATAAAAGCTTTTATTTTGCTATAATTAATAGAAATATTATTAAATAGGGGCCATTGCCTAAAATCTTTACCATATAAATGAAGCCACTACTATCGGAGAAAAACAAACTCCGTCCAACGAGCCAGCGGCGTGGGAATGGGCATGACACGATGCCATCCGTCTTTCGGTCCACAACAGCCATGGCATGTATGTACATGCCACACGGTGGCTAGGGGTTAAGAAAAATTAGGGCAGTTGTGGGGAAGAAACATTCCAAGGATCGGCCACAGGAAGTAGTGGTGGATTTGTCCCAAAGAGAGTGGTGGCAGATAAAATCAGCTATGAGGAAAAGGGATTAGAGTAGAAAAATAATAGCAACAAAGTTGGTGGGAAGGGGAGAAGTAGACTGAAATAACTCTTCCAGCGGCTTAGAAAGATGTGAATAAACGTGCAAGGGTGGAATAACATGTTTTCTGATGGATAAGTATAAGCAAGACAAGGGGAGTGAGGAAAACACAAAATGGTATTTGGGAACTTGTACAGGAGGATGTCTCTCTTGGAGGCAGAGAATAGATGGGTTATAAGAAGGAAGGATATGATAAAGATCAGGTCTGTGAGAAAGGAAACTATGAAAATTCCAATGTATTAGATCTGTTTCAAAGTAATCAGCATGTGATGAGGGTAAAAATGTGTGTTGGATGAGTTGGAGGAAAGGAGGAGCCAGGGGATGAGACATGAGATGAAGGGGAGGAGGTGGAGGATATGGGGAAGGGCATTATTGTGAGAAAAGGGATGCACGTGTATCTAGGAGGATACTGACTCAGATGATAGGGATAGTGGAGATAGTTGGGGGTTGATATAGTTCAAGCAGGGGGATAGGGTATCTTGGGAGGGAGTAGGATATTGGCATTCATGTTGAGTGTAGAGTGAGTGGTAGTAGTGAGTTTGGAGGGTCGATGAGGGGTCTCTGTTGATTTGAATACCTTCAAGACTTTCTGCAATGGACTTCATTGGGGAGGTTTGAGAAAAAAAAAATCGTATGAGAGAGAGAAGAGGAAACTGGTGTCATGAGAGGGTGGAATGGTTAATAGTTAAGCAAAATAAATGAGCTAGACATCTAAGGTCATATAGCACTATAGGAAAGTATATTAAAGGAGGGGTGAAGGGTGATAGTTGCTATGTATCAACTAGCTAGAGTAATCTTGAGAGTTTAAAGATTGTAAAGGAGTTGCTGTGTGAATGGACTATTATGGGTGTAGGTAAGGGAATTACATAAGGGCTTCATGTGTGTATCCAGGAGGGAGTGGAAAGGATGGAGTGATGGAGAATGTACATGTATTTGGAGTTGAGGGTGATGGGTTGTGTTGGGAGTGAGTAGGAGGAAGTGGTGTAAGGGGAATATGAGCAGGAGGAGAATGGGTGTCAGGAGGATGGATATCAGCAGTAGTTGTAGTTGAGGAGGATGGGTTGGGAGGGAGGGGTGACGGGGGAATATGAGTAGGAGGATGATGGATATCGGTAGTAGGCGGAATTGAGGGGTTTAGGAGGAAGGGGTGTAGTTGAAATATGAGCAGGAGGGGGATAGATATCGGCAGTCACTTTGAGTGTGGAGGGAGTATGAGTTGTGGAATTTTGTCTCTCAAGCATATAGCTTTGAATATCTTCCATAGTATCTGCAGTGGAGTTAGGTGGAGAGTTTTGTGAGACAAAAGTTTTTCTTATGATGAGGGGAAGAGGAGACTGGTGTATGAGGAATAAAGGCAAAGGTAGGTGGAGGGGAGTATGCGGTATGGGAAGAAGGGGGATGAACGTTTAGTCTGTAGTCGAGATTGTAGCTGTAGGTGAAATTGGGGTGTCTGGATTTAGAGTGGTAAAAGAATTTGACTGGGAGAGGTAGAATGTAGAAGTGGAAGTGGGGAGGTAAGTAGGTATAGGGGAGGGTGTAGGAGCATCTTGGGGTGGAGGGGGAGGGGCAGAACGAGCAACATTACTAGAGTAGGGAGTATAAGAGAAACCTTGTCAGCATGTTTCCTGTCTGGCTTCATGTAGAGCGAGACCATATTTGTATCTGAGATTTGCTACCTCAGATTCCAACTTGTAAGTGGGACAGCCTGTATAAAATACATTATAGGGGCTGCCGCAGTTAGCACGTGTGTGTTTGTACAGGGCAGTTTGATCAGTTATGACAGGGTCGGGCACAAGTAGAGGCATCAGTCTGTGGAATGCCAGTGTTTGGCAGGATGTCCAAAGCGCCAACAGTTTTGACAGTGACATGGAGGAGGTTGGTATGGTCGAACAGGGAGGGATTGTCCACCAATGTGGATACGGAAGGGAAGGTCATGTGTATGGAAAGTAATTTTGGCAATGTTAGTGGGTTTCTTTCGATTACCTCTAAGAGGAATGGAGTAGCACTGTACTGGTATCACATCATGGTCTTTGAGACATCCGAGTAAGTACTCTCCACAATCTGACCAATTGATATCCATAGGGCAGCTTGCTGGGGAGTTCCAGTACAAGTATTAAGAGTTGAATGAGGTTCTGCAGGAATGAGAAATCAGTTAGATTTGATAATGCTATAGCTTCAGTTTCATATGTAACTGTTACGAGACGGGAACGATCGGGTCGGGTACTCTGCCCACTTGCTCTTGCAGACATTGTTGAAAGAGAAGATTGTTGCCTGAGTAAGGAGCTGTTAGGGGGATCACAAAAAAAAAAATTGGTCGCATTTGGCTCGGCTAAATAGAGAATTTAAGATACTGGTAGAGTTGAGGGTGGTAGAAGGACAGGGATATGTGGAAGAGGGAGTATTGTTGAGGGGGGTAGTTTTATGGAGAGATGGAGAATAATGCTGTAAGGTAGTAATATGGGAAGATGATGTGATTGGTGAAGAAGGCTGTGGGGGTAGAGTTGATGAAGTTGAGAGATAAGGAGTCAACTTGGGTGGATAATGCACAGGCATTGAAGAGTGGATAGTAGTTGTGTTCAGAGTTGTGGACAAAGGAGAGGCTGGGGTTGGGGATCTGGTAGAGTTTGAACTGGTGGGGCTATATGAAGAAGGGGCAAGCCTCATTGCCCCCCCTCAATCCCTTGCTTGTTGTTGTTGGGGGCTTAGGAGACGGAGACTGAGACCCAATGCAGGGATCTCCCCTGCCTAGGGCCTCAGCCCTCGACTCAACTAATTTTGCATGGTCTTTTCCCCCTCCAGCTTTTGTTTCCATCCCTTCTCCATCCCCTTCTACTATCTACTTCCTAAGGTGTGAGAGCCGTGCTGAGAGGATGAAAGGCTGACCTTGTGCCAGTCCTGAACGGCCTGCGGGAACTATGGGCACGGTACTCCCGACTAATCTAGCCCTTACCTTTCACTAGCGATGGAGGTGGACCAGTTGATGCCTTTTATATAATCCAGGTTCCCCATGACCAGTAATGAAAATGTAATCCCTTTATTAGAGGCAATGAGGCTAGCCCCTTTATCAAATAGCCCCAACCCAGGCTCTCCTTTGACCACGGCTCCGAACACTGAAACTACTACCCACTCCTCAATGCCTACTAGTGCATTACCCACCCAAGCAGAGAATCAATCTCCAGAAGACATTCCTACCCACCCAACTTCCTCAAAATCAACTCTACCCCTGCAACCTTCATCAACCAATCCTCCCTTATTACTACCTTGCAGCCTTATTCTCCATCATTCCGTAATACTCCCTCTTCCACACGTCCCCGACCATCCACCACCACCAACCCTACAGATATCTTAAATACTCTGTTTAGCCCAGCTAAATGGGACCGATTTTTCGTGATCCCTTCTACAG